AAAGAAGTTATTCGCCAGTAAAACTTGCGGTATCTTATAAGTTTTATTAAAAAAAAATGTATGAAATATTTCGTAGATATTGTTTACCAAGTCTAAGGGGAATATTTACTACAGTGTTACAGTCAGCTAAACACGTTGAATTANTTACTACAGTGTTACAGTCAGCTAAACACATTGAATTCAAAAATAAATATTTCGACTTTCATTATAAGACATCTATTTTAATACACCTAAAATGCCAGCGATTTTACAGTGTGCGGCACAACTAGAGTAGAACAATAGTAATAAAGTAGCAGACATACGAGTATGTATAATAATTGATTGAAAGGGTCAAAGCGGTGTTCGTCTCAGCACTTGAAATATTGTGTCGTGAAAAAAACAAACCGTTGATGGATTGCCGTAACAGTTACGGGACTTGACATAAATCTCGAGTAGTTCGCAGTTATATTCACACGACAGACCCAATAAATTAATGATTTTTGTTGTCAAGTATGACTGTGTCTCACTGCGAATGTATACTACACCAGATTATAGACACANTCTCGAGTAGTTCGCAGTTATATTCACACGACAGACCCAATAAATTAATGATTTTTGTTGTCAAGTATGACTGTGTCTCACTGTGAATGTATACTACACCAGATTATAGAACGCACAGCCGTAGTAGTAACTTTGTTTAAAATAATTAAAATTAACTCAAATCCCAAAAGCGTGGCTAACTTCACACGCCATTGTAAAAGTTAAGGAAACTCGGAAACAATGTCGTAAAAACGTCCCTCGAGTGTTTTCCGTATGCCATACAATTATATGCAATAAATCTATGTACTTCCGGGTTTTTTATTTTACCATTCAATTTCTTCAAAAGTGTTTTTTTTTCAACGAAAATTGTTTACTCTATCTCGACGAAATACTAGCGTTCGGTGAGGCCCGAGGGAAAATAAGTTCAATCACTACCATATAAATCTGACGTTTAAAAATAACACTGTGGTGTATTACACATTACTATGAAAGTTTGTTTTTTGTTATTGTTACGCGATTATTATTGAGACTTTGATGACAAATTTATGATGCCCAGTTTAATAGCGAATCTACGAGTAGTTTTGAAAATATTTTATTTTCCTGCCAGGTTAAATATAATTCCAATGCTTAAACACCATAACCATAAATGTCTGTAAAATATTTTATAGTCATTGATCTCTCACAATACCGACTTCATGTACCGTATAATAATATGCTGTAGGACCTGTGAAAAAGTAGTCGAAAATATTTTAACTGATGTTTTACAGGAATGTTCCCGAACATAAATAACATATTATTGTAAAATCAATATCGCCTTAGTACAACGGAAGAACAGCGAAACTCGTTCAGAAAGCATTATAGGTAAAAAATATGATAATGTTCACATCATGTCTGATGAATTCATTAATCAAGAAGCCAATGCATTATATTTCAAAGTATGATGTAAAAACTTCTCACAGATTATCGTGAAAATAATTTAACACTAGTTTATTTTTTTAACTTAAATAATAAATTTAGACGCAGCTAGACTAGAATTTCTGGGTGGATTAGTTTTCAAAACATAGCACCTTTCAAGGACAAAGACCTCACAATCCTAAAATTAGCGCTCGCCTATACAGAGTGTTCAGTAAGTAAGGAAACAGGTTAATTGTTAAAACAATGAGAACAATAGAAACCCGTTTCCTTACTTACTGAATACTCAATATTTTCGATTAATGTCAAAAAATCAATGGTAACATGGAAATGAGAGATAAATTTTTGTTCTTAAAAAACATATAATAAAGAAATACATGCGAAAATAAAAAAAAATTTATTGGGTTAAAGACAAAATAATGATGACCAACAATGCAACTTTGTAATTATACAAGATTAATCAAATCGTTTAAGGTTTATAAGTTATGATTATTATCACGTATAAGACTTATCATACAGTAATTAAAACTTAACGAAATAGAGTAAATAAAACAGTAAATATTGAAAACGGAATATTCAAGATAATGTCGTTAATAATTATAATTATAAACTAAAACTATAAAATTTATAATTTTTTTTCACTCGAAACAATCATTAAAATCTGATACAACGAGTTTAATTTACATAATAAGTTTCAGATTATTATTGACTAATGAGCACTAAAAGTCATAAAAAAAGTAGTATGTAGTGGCACTTAACAATAAATTTCTCCTACGCGTATTGTTTTAAAGCACAGAATTATTGATTTGATGAACATCCGAAAAAATCTCAGCAGCATTTTTAATTTAAAGCTCATTTCAAATAGTATGCAAGTTATTGTTATACTTTTCCAGGTATTAAAATGTACAGTATAGAAACTTTTGAATGTACAAGGAAATATGAAACGATATATCTCAAAAAATATTCACCTCGAGAGTCTATCAAAAAGTAAAATCACAGTAGGTCTTTATATCACAATTCAGAGCTGTAAAAAAGTGACAAGGTTCAAAATGAATTTTACAAATGCCTCGCACGGAAATTATAAACGGGTTATTTATTCGACATTTATTAGATTTTTTTTCAATGCATTGAAGGCTACTAAAATAATTATAGAATAATTTATAAATCATAAACATGTAAAATATTTATTCAACGAATATATTTTATATTGGACTATTAAATATTATTAGCATTTTTGGTTTTTTTTTTTAATAAGTCACAGTGTAATTCCGAAGTCTATAATATACTCTAAAAAAAAGCTAAAACTTGGTGAAAGGAATTCGATGTACAGTTGATTTTCAACCACAAAGTCAGTTACAAATTATAGTATTTTTATTCTACAATAGGAAAAAAGAAAAGAGTATTTCCTTAAAAGAAACACCATTACTATTTTCAAAGAAATTTGGTTGCAAGTTTAATGTTATTTTAAAAGAGCAGACTTCTGCTCGACGAATAATTATTATTAATGTACACAAGCATGAAACTTTTAAGTGTACAAAAAATACTTAGTATGATTGAAACGTTGGATTTTAACTTTTGAGGCGAGACTAATTGACATAATTTGTCACTTGATTCAAAGTATTCACTCGATTTAAAAATAATTTCAAGCAATGTTTTGGCAATTTTTTAATAATCAATAATTTTTATTTTAAATATATTCTAGTTTTGATGATTAGTAACCTCTAGCGCTATTTACTTAACATCTTATTCTCTTGATTTAGAGCATCCTGTACTAAAGAATACTTGGAAAAGTGTAATAATCTTGAGTAATTAAATACTAGTCCCACTTTTAATGATTGCATTTTAATTAAAATTGAAAGTATATAAAGTAAAAAAAGAATCGTTTTAATTGTACCTGTAGCAATAATTCTTTTTTGTCGTTCAATTAAATCGTCTTCTGGGTTAAGTTACTCGGAACAAAATTAATTAACATCGAATTGATAATTCTTGTACTGTAATAAAATCATTAAAGACCACAGAGTAGTTAATATTTGTGTTGTTATATTAGAAGTGATAAGGAAAAAAATTTGTGGTCTTCTAGAAAAATAATTTATTACTCTCATCTATTTATCATGATTATTTATATAAAGGTATATTAAAAAAATGTAGCAAAAAAATTGCGGGAAAGATTAAAATGTTGTTAGTTTCTTTCAATTATATAACTTAAAAAATATGTTTATAACAACGCTATATGTTGCAAAATAACTGACTAAAATAATAAAATATTATCTTGTGACGGTATACCACCTCCCTTGAGCCAGCCCTGAATAGGCGTTAAAGTATGATAGGACTTAAGCTCACTTAGACTCAAATTTATAGTTACAACCATAACAGAGGCAACATTGTAACTTTTCCTGGAAAATAGACCAAAATTACTCTTTCGCTTGGCTATCTTTGGCGACTCCAAAACCCTGATTAAATCCTTTACTCAAGAAAATCGTACATAACAGTGTCCTTACATATTTGAAAAAGTAGTGATTAATATAGTGAACTCTTTTCTATGTTTTTTCCACTTTTTATTTTTATTGCAACGAATGCAAACTAGAGAAAGATTGAGTGTTAATTCTCAAATGAAACATTCAACAATAAGATATAAACTTATACATCACACATAACTGTTGTTTAATCCGCGTGAAACGTATAACTTGCAACAACATAGACAATTGTACTTTTAGAGCCTCGAAACACTAAAAGAAACTACAATAGTAGATTAAGTAAACATTTAACAAATTGTTCGTAATTTGTTTATCCTTACTACAATACGATTCAAACTCGTTGTTTGTTAACTAAAATATAATAAAACATTCGTAAAAGGCTCCGGGGAAAAGTTTAGTCAAGACTGAAATCAACTATATAGCTGCTATAGTAACTTTCACTTACGGCAGGATCACCGTTTAAAATTTATATTGGTCTCGTTGGCTTTTCCTATAGATAAACGATTGGTAATTTTCAAAAGGTCACCTTTGTACAAAGGCTTACGCGTACACATAAAATGTGTTTGAAAATCCTATACAGTGTCCCGTTCAGTCCAACAATATTGAAGTGAAAAACCATAACTCACATGGTCATAAACCTTTGGTGTAGGTGTGCAACACAATGTCGTATACCATTTAATATTAATTACTTCAATGCACCTCGTGTCTGCTTCTTTTTTTTTTGACGTTCGTGTCTGTCGTTTGTGCGTGTTCAATAGTGTGCTTGCAACAAAAAAGGTTATGGTAAAAAATAAGGTCGTACTCTGATTAAAATAATGAATGTTTTATTGTTATCGCCCGACTTTATTACTCACTTATATATTTGCTTAATTATTTTTGACAGGTGGGCAATAGCATACATGTGGCGAAAACACATCGGTCGCTTTTTTTGACACCGGCAGTTCCATCTTGTTCAATCAGCATTTATAAAAAGCCGATCAATTCAGCCAGCGCTCCGTTGTCATCGTAGTCGCAGCGTTTGTACAGGTGCTGTTGACGGGCCACGTGACAAAGGCGGCCTGGTCGGTGCGGCTGCACCCACACCTGTAACATAGCGGCCTCGGCAGCGGCGGTGGACACGCACAGCGGACTGTGTCACCGTCACGGTGTACGACGGCAACGCGACCGGCGTGGTCGTCGGCAACGACACCGGGCCGTCGTCGCTGCCACCGCGACCGACACCGACGCCGCTGGTCACTTACCAGAACGCGGCACCCGGCGACGACGGCTGCGGCTACTGGTGGGCCCTGCTGGCCGTGTGTCTAGTTTTGGCCACCGCTGCCGGCAACATACTCGTATGTCTGGCCATCACATGGGAACGCCGTTTGCAAAATGTTACCAACTACTTTCTCATGTCGCTCGCAGTCACCGATCTCATGGTGGCCGTTCTCGTCATGCCCATCGGCATCCTCACTCTGGTCAAAGGTGTGTAAGCAAAAAACTTTAATAATACTAACCGTGCAAGTTGTTAATTGTTGCTGACGGTAATTAGTAAACAAAATCAGTACGAATGGAAAAATAAATGACTAGTGCGTAACTTGTCCTTTAAAACAGATTAAATAAACTCTTTTAGCGTGTCGTTCGGGCGAATAGGTTTCTGGGCGTGTTGGGCGGTACTCGAAAGCCAAACGTTTTTTTTTTCTCATAAAATTCCTAATTGCAAACGCCTAAACAAATTAAAGTAACAAAAAAAAAAGCACGAAGCAATTTTTTTAAAAGTTATTGGAAAGTAATCAAAATAAATTTATGCATTGTTGTAAAATTATTACACTAGTACTATGCGTTTTTTAAATAATAAATGAAAACAATGAATCGTTCGTGCAGAGTCAAGGGAAATTTACGATTTACAGGTGGTTGTTTCATACGGCTCGTTATTAACTTTCGCACCGGGTAAATTGTTGACGATCTCAGTGAATTAATGGCCCCTTGATTTGCAAACCGATTCCTGTATTGTCTGAGCTCGTTAAAACTATTGATTTGCTTATAAAAACTTTGCCGACTGTAATAGATGATACGCGTATTGAGGTCGAAACCGAACCCAGGAGAGAACGGAAAAACTTTGTAATACAACAAACCTCTTATCAATCGCTAATGAGTTAATAACACATTTAATTGCCGTTCGTCCGCTTGGCACACGACGGCTACGCATCTCCTCTAAATTACAATATCATATGCTGTGCACAATCTTTGTGCTCTAAATAGTTTGTTAAAGTTTCAATACCGGTGGTTATTATTAAGCTATAATTTAACGAATTAATTGTAAGTTACCCAATTAACGGAGTTGCTGCACGACGAGTGTTTTTGAATATCTCATATACATGTATAGGATAGCCAAGGTGGCAAATATTTGGACTTCAATGACGTCGCCCAGAGTATTCGAACCGACCGATTTATCTTTGTTCTGTGGTAATCAAAGCTGAACACGAAAATGAATTATCATTTCTTTCCGCTGTCACGAGGTTAAATTGTGTACAGCAACAATGAATCCCATGGAAATATTTCATTAAGAAACACAATACCATATGGTATGCTCAGTACTAAATCAAAGAACAATGTGTTCCCTTACTGTTTTTGATGGAGAAATCAATAAATGAAAATCATTTCCGAATGTTTTTCTCAAAAATCATTAAAATAAAAAATATTAACGAGTATAAATATATAGTATGATTTATTAAGAATACAACCACCCATTTTTTATTTAAATAATCATTTTATTTGACAAAAATTTACAAATTTAATATTTGATTCATTTTATGATCGTAAGTAAATATCAAGTTTATTGTAGGAAAAAATTATTTCTTAACGTAGAGTTTAGGGGTAAATTTTGAAATTTAAATGGAAACCTATTGTTATTTTTTTTTTAAATAGAAATATTTAAAATAACATTTTCTCTGATCGATGTTAATCAGTTTTATACTATTGATTTTTGTGCTAATATAATTTTTAGTAATAGTAGTGTGTAACGTAGTGAATTTTTATGTGTGTATCACTACCACGTTTTTCACCTTTTCTAAATTTTTAAAAGATAATATTGCAAAAAGTAATATTATAAAACTGGTCAACAACGAATCAACGTTTTAATTAATCCGTTCTCCATTAAATAGTAAAAAAGTGTATAACGGGTTCCCATTTCACTTTCGAAAGTTACCTTTATAATCACCTTTAATACCTTTAGTAAATAAAATTTTACTTATTTCATTCTATAAAAGAAATCATTTTTAGCAAAAAAATGGCAACAATTATTCTTACTAAATCAAACTAAATATGTCATCAAAAAAGAATTAAATTATCTAAATAAAAAAAAACGGTAACGTATCGAACAGTATCCCACGTGAGATGAATTGAAATTCAGTCAACCGAATCAATTGGTACTTAAGTGCGACGAACACGTGGCAAACACTTCAGAAATATGTGAAGTATTTCGTGTCAAATGTTTTTTATTCTATTTTCAAATTTGATATTTTAGACTGATATTTCAATCATTTTTAAAAGATCTCAACTTTTTCTATGAACTTTTGATAGATAATTCTACAAATGGTTTTTGAAATTTTTATCAGATTGTTGAAAACTTAAGTAAACAATTTTCCCACGTACTTTATGGGAATATTTTCGACGCAAAACCATTTATATTTTAAATATTTATATTGCAAACACTTATGTTGGCTGATGCCGATTAAATTAATGAGGTAATTGTAGTGAACTTCCAAATAATAAATACTATATGAAGTTATCTTTTTCGGAATTTTACTACTTTAAAATGTGTTATTAAAACACTTTTTAACAGTAAATATTACCCAATAAATAAGATATGTTTTGTATTAGAGGCGTTTTTAAAAATATAGAAGTCATAACCAAAAGTATTTATTTTTATTTGTTTTTTAAAAGCACTAATTTATTTTCGGCAAATGTTAACTTGTGATGTAGTAAAAAGTTTTTTTTATAAATTCACTTTTTCATTAAAAGTATAAAAACATTTGTAAGTACAAAACGTTTTATTGTACCGTAAACTCAAAATCAAGACAATGAGGAATTATTCAATGAAAAATTGGCGTTGAAAGATAACCGATTCTCAAAGCACTCGCAGGTATCGCGAGATAACTTTTTTTGAAATGTTAGCTTGCAATCCCTTTAATCCATTGATTTACTATACTTCTTAAAGCAGATTGATTGCTTTAAAATCGCTGTTTCTTCAAAAACACGTGTTTTCATAGATATAAATTCTGTTGTATTATTCTCGAAAATTCCTGTTGAATAAATTATAGAGAACATACACATTCATTCAGAAATAAAAAATTTTAATGGTTACGCTATATTTGCTGGTATCGAAGGACCTTAAATGTGTGAATAAAATGGTTGATATCCAATACTAAATTACAGGGGTCGGATTAAAAAAAAATTCCGTTTAACGTTTAAATATATTATAGCGTTATCTTATAACTGAGTTTAACGTTATTCAACATTTAAATATCATACAGTTTTTTTATAAATATTTTTAATATTAAAAGTTATTTAAATTTTTTTATTGAACGTTTTAATGTTAGTACGTTTTTTCGTTTAAATGGTTCGAAACGTAATTATAAGAAGTTTTTAATATTATCAAATAACTACTTTTTTTAAATATTAAGCTAGAAAATAATTAATTTTTTTCGTAATAAGAATTGTTTTATGTTATAAGTTGTAATATGCTTAACGGTATTTTATATTTATTGACATCACATATTTTTAGTTTTTTTGTTTTTTAATTACGTTTTGACAAAATTATTCATTTTAAACGTCTACTTTACTAGTTGAACATGAAAAATCATGACTAATAATTGAATAAAAGATGTGTTAATTTTAATAAGGCATTCAAACAGCTGAACTCAGTGTTAGATTATTATTTTGCAAGTATGAAAAGTATTTCTATAAAAATGATTTAGAAAAATTGCTTCGAGTCAAAAATCTGTCGACAAAGTTTTACTTTGTGTAATGAAAATATTTTTAGCTCATGTTATAATAATTTTGTGATTATATAAATATAAGCATATTATGGTATTAATAAAAAGCTAAAAGCTTCCGCGATTAAATTTAAGCTTTTTCCTGGAGTTATTCATAAATATCATGTTTTTTTGTAGTACTCGCACGCCGAATGAGTATAATGGATGACGATAAAACCTACGCTCAAGTCAAGTGTAGGTGTTGCCATATACTACGGTAAATCAAGTTGATTTAGCTGGTTTTAATCTCACAAGCCACGAGAAATTTTATGCAAATTGTTTTGTTACACCTTTTAATTATAAACTATATTTGTATGCAAAGGTTTTTGCACACGTTTGTGCGGTGTAAAGTTAATAGGTCAAAGTTTGGAAAAACAATTTTTCAGAGTAGTGAGAGAAACATGCTCAACTACCCACGCGAGACAGTTTTATTTACATCCAATTTTTTTTAGAAAATTCGATCTTGTTTTTTCGCAGGAAGAATGTTGAATTCAATTTATAAATATAATACTGCTGTAAATCACTTTAAGATAGTACGTTTTTATTTTACAATTGTTTGTTATTTGTGCTACGAAATTAAAAAATTGTACAAATTTAAGTAATAAACTGAACACTAAAAATGTTTGTCTAACCAAAAAAATGTTATACATACACAGTTAAAACTAGCAGTGAGCTTGACTAATTTTCACAAATATTTCATACATAAACATGTTAAATTAACTTTTAGTTTCATTTTTTTTTTTTGGGGTTGAATTTATAAAATAATTTACATCATATCCAAATTAATATTTATAAGAGTATTATTTTTAATATATATATTTTGACGGGTAATAGTATTTTGTTTTGTTTAATTTGGTAGGGTTTTAAATTTATAATTCACTTGATAAGTTTGCGATTATAATTGAGAGGAATAGTATGTCTTGTGATAGCCGGGTTCATTAACATCTATTTATTGTTTTATCTAAAAAGTTATAGTTTTGGATTTTTGTAGCGATAGTATTTCCATGTCATTATAAATTAGCGTGTTTCTTGCTAATCAAAGACTTAATTGCACATCGTCTAGGAAATGGCCGTAAAAAAACTTTATTTGGCAATAATTCGTATTGTTATACCGTTACAGCAGTAGATAGAGTTTGAACAGAAACTTTCTTTAAAAACATTTGTTTAAAAGGATGGTTGAATTATTGATATTGAAATTGATAATATTGATGATAAAAAAATTGGTGTCGATAAGTCTTTGATTTTTTTGATTAAATAATACTCGAATGAAAACAACAGTAACGTTCATTTATAAAATTCTTAAATTTAGATTTCTGAACCTTATATTACAATTCTTGAATAAATTAAAATATTTACTGTGGCAAGATAAGGTTATTTACAAGGTATCGAGCAAGTTTAGGTAATTATGATGGTTTTGCTATATCCAAAACTAATTAATAAATGTCTGCG